TAAATACATCAGTGGTTCATATAGTGAACTCGGTGTAGAGTTATTCACCCTGAGGTCATCACAGAGGACAAGGGGGCACTCTTTACCTCTGGAAGAAAAGAAATTTAATCTCCAAACACGGAAAACTTTCTTCACAGTGAGAGCTGTGAAAATGTGGAATAGACTCCTCAAGAGTTGGTTCTGGCCAGCTCAGTGGATTGTTTTAAAAAAGGCCTGGATTCTTTCCTAGATACACAGAATATAACTGGATACTAACATTTATAGGTAAAGTTGATCCAGAGAATATCCTATTGCCTCTCAGGGGATCAGGAAGAAATTTTTTTCCCAGCAGGAGAAAATTGGATCATGCTTTGCTGGGATTTTTTTGCCTTCCTCTGGATCAACTGTGGGTATAGGATTATAACAATTTTTTTGTTAATGGTTGGACTGGATGGACTTTTGTATTTTTTCAGCCAGACTAACTATGTAACTATGTAGTATCTGCTTCATTGCTCCAGCTATTTGAAAGTTGTTGACTTCCAGCTTAAGTAACTGTGTGTCACTCATTTGAAACCTACTGCTTAATAATAAAATAAAACTCATGCAGCGCTAAAAGTATGATAAAATACATACAATCGTAAATTATAAATTATATGATACCAATATAACAAAATTAAAAAATATGAATGACCAAGTTCAATGACCTTATCTATTATATGACATAAATAGATGACAAGAGATATAATGTCCGCAAAAGTTTAAAGTGCCAGAAATCAATACACGCACTATGGCGTATGGTGAAGTACAAATAAACGCGCTATAAAATATGAAGTATAGATGTGATAAAAACGTCCCCAATTGGCATTTCCAGGTGTATATGTGATTAGTCTCTGATTGGTATAGATCTGTGATGGTGAAAGATAAAATAAATGGCCGTAGATTGCACTCACCAGAGAGCGCAAATGAATGCGGATTTGAGTATTAAGGACCAACTCCTGGTCATTAGCATCAGGTTACTTAAAACATCAGGTCATCTGGTGGGCATCAGGGGGGCAGACAGCACACCATCAGGTAGTATCGGCACCGAGGATGGATTAGCCACCAGGGGAATCACACTAGTAACTTCAGTCAGGTCATAATGGGTATCAATGGATAAATGATGTCCAAATAGTAACAATCTGGTAGTCTGATGTCCATTAGAAAGTGTACCAAGCATACTGTGTCAATGAGGCAGGCTTCCTGACATGTTTCGAGTGCACAAGCACTTTTTCAAAGGCCACTGCTTGCAACATAAATATTTACTTTTGTGTGCCTAATAAGATGGACTTTCATTCTGAAGACAAATTTAGTATGCTCTTGTATTTATGCAGGTGGAGAAGCGAATGGCTATTTAGATACAGTCAGGTCCATAAATATTGGGACATCGACACAATTCTAACATTTTTGGCTCTATACACCACCACAATGGATTTGAAATGAAACAAACAAGATGTGCTTTAACTGCAGACTGGCAGCTTTAATTTGAGGGTATTTACATCCAAATCAGGTGAACGGTGTTGGAATTACAACACTTTGCATGTGTGCCTCCCACTTCTTAAGGGACCAAAAATAATGGGACAGAATAATAATCATAAATCAAACTTTCACTTTTTAATACTTGGTTGCAAATCCTTTGCAGTCAATTACAGCCTGAAGTCTGGAACGCATAGACATCACCAGACCCTGGGTTTCATCCCTGGTGATGCTCTGCCAGGCCTCTACTGCAACTGTCTTCAGTTCCTGCTTGTTCTTGGGGAATTTTCCCTTCAGTTTTGTCTTCAGCAAGTGAAATGCATGCTCAATCAGATTCAGGTCAGGTGATTGACTTGGCCATTGCATAACATTCCACTTCTTTCCCTTAAAAAACTCTTTGGTTGCTTTTGCAGTATGCTTTGGGTCATTGTCCATCTGCACTGTGAAGCGGCATCCAATGAGTTCTGAAGCATTTGGCTGAATATGAGCAGATAATATTGCCCGGAACACTTCAGAATTCATCCTGCTGCTTTTGTCAGCAGTCACATCATCAATAAATACAAGAGAACCAGTTCCATTGGCAGCCATACATGCCCACGCCATGACACTACCACCACCATGCTTCACTGATGAAGTGGTATGCTTAGGATCATGAGCAGTTCCTTTCCTTCTACCATACTCTTCTCTTCCCATCACTCTGGTACAAGTTGATCTTGGTCTCATCTGTCCATAGGATGTTGTTCCAGAACTGTGAAGGCTTTTTTAGATGTCGTTTGGCAAACTCTAATCTGGCCTTCCTGTTTTTGAGGCTCACCAATGGTTTCCATCTTGTGGTGAACCCTCTGTATTCACTCTGGTGAAGTCTTCTCTTGATTGTTGACTTTGGCACACATACACCTACCTCCTGGAGAGTGTTCTTGATCTGGCCAACTGTTGTGAAGGGTGTTTTCTTCACCAGGGAAAGAATTCTTCGGTCATCCACCACAGTTGTATTCCGTGGTCTTCCGGGTCTTTTGGTGTTGCTGAGCTCACCGGTGCATTCCTTGTTTTTAAGAATGTTCCAAACAGTTGTTTTGGCCACGCCTAATGTTTTTGCTATCTCTCTGATGGGTTTGTTTTGTTTTTTCAGCCTAATGATGGCTTGCTTCACTGATGGTGACAGCACTTTGGATCTCATCTTGAGAGTTGACAGCAACAGATTCCAAATGCAAATAGCACACTTGAAATGAACTCTGGACCTTTTATCTGCTCATTGTAATTGGGATAATGAGAGAATAACACACACCTGGCCATGGAACAGCTAAGAAGCCAATTGTCCCATTACTTTTGGTCCCTTAATAAGTGGGAGGCACATATGCAAACTGTTGTAATTCCTACACCGTTCACCTGATTTGGATGTAAATACCCTCAAATTAAAGCTGACAGTCTGGAGTTAAATTACATCTTGTTTGCTTCATTTCAAATCCATTGTGGTGGTGTATAGAGCCAAAAATGTTAGAATTGTGTCGATGTCCCAATATTTATGGACCTGACTGTATATGTTGATATATCCCGCTGTGCTTTAATCATCAGGGGTTTGCTTTTCAGTACTTTCAATTTCTGCATATCATTGGTGGGTGGAAGGAGAAGTCACTGTGACTGGGACTCTCTAAGGGAATTACCCCTTGGTGACTGCTCTGTTCATTCACAGTGTATTGTGGAAAGGTCTGGACTTCATTTATTTGAACTAAGACAACGTTGTCTTGTTTCATGGCTATTCCTATGGTGAAGAAATGTGCTTTTGACATTTAGGGGGGAGGTTTTATTTCTTTTTGTGAATTTTTGTATTTTGAAATCTCAGTAAAGATTTAAGAAATTTTCTTAATAATTGTGTCTACATGGTGGATTAATTAGCAGGTACAGACATCATGGGGTGCTATATACCACTTTGTCCCTGGGGTGCTTTCCTAGGGACTGTTTTTTCATGATTATTGTTTAATGTTTTACCCTACACACCTTCTTTCCAGTTGAGCAGGAAGCTCTCTATATCATATACGTGTTTCCACAATAACAAAGTTTTTATCTAATGTTTCTGGAGATGGCAAAGATCTCCCCCTGATCAGCTCTGCAATAGAAGAAGTAATTCCACAATTATCTTTTACTGTGTTGACAGGGAGATGGGAAAAATCTCCCATTGACTGGCTCTGGTGCTTCTGTATTACTTTTTTACTGTGCAGACGGGGAGATGGGAAGATACTCCACTAAGCGGTTCCTCTTTCACTCTGAATCTGAAGACAGGCAGATAATGTGCCAGTGGAGAAATAAAAAAGAACTTCTCTCTGACTGTCAGAGTGCTGCAAGGTACTGGTACTGGCTTTACAACCAATCAGATGCCTGGCAGGAGCTCACGTGATCATAGGCCAAGCTGCCTGGTTGGTTGGAAAACCAATATCATGGGACTTTGGCAAAGAGAGGTAAAAAAATGATGATGTGGTGTGAATCCCAGATCCTTTACCCTCATTTTCCCTTCCAAGAAGTTCCAGTATGTACACACATATGTACAACACTCATGCAAGTGTGTTTGAGCTTTGGGGTGCACACTCTAATGCAATAGGCTGTGCACACCTATGTTTATACACGAGTTTAGAAACGCCTTTCTTAGTGTGGCTTATTGCATCAGTCAAGAGCAGCAGGCTTTGAATATCAGGGCAGCAGGAGGACTTTTTTGAGGTGCAGATCCTTTCAGTGGCCACTCAAGATCCCTCAAAGCAAATGTATTCTCAACAAAAGCTCCAGAATATATATCCTAAAGTGGTAAATTTCTCTGCTCCCTCTTGTAGCAATACTGTGCAGCATCTACTGCAAGATTCACAAATGAGTAGGTCTCTAGATAAATCATACAGTAGGTAAATCATACTACTCATACTGACATTTAGAGTGTCGTACAGGGGTAGATTTACTAAAAAGTGGTGCTGTATCTGGTGCAGCTGTGCATGGTAGCCAATCAGCTTCTAACCTCAGCTTGTTTAATTAAGCTTTGACAATAAAATCTGGAGGTTATTTTCTATGCAGAAGCGAGCATGATTTGGCACTCTCCAGCTTTAATAAAGAAACCCCAAAGTCTCATGCTAACATTTAAAGTATACATTATTCCTACTAATATTTAAAATTAACCTTCGTTTTCCTATGTAGAGCCCCACTAGCAGCACCTAAATATTTCGGTAAAATGCTTAGTACTTCCAGGTATTGGGAACGTGACTCAATACCTCTTTTTCCGTAATGACATTGCTGGTGCTTGGTAATTGACTGGGCAGGACCCAGTGCTATCCAAAGGAGTGGTGAGGGGATTTCTGCTCTGTGTATGCTCACAGTAACAGCATTTTACTGGGGTCATTTCTGTTTTATTCTACAGCTTATTTCCACTTTTGCAGCCAAATTGAGATAACACCTACCGTATTTTTCGCTCCATAAGATGCACTTTTTTCCCCCCCAAAAAGGGGGGGAAATGTCAGTGTGTCTTATGGAGCGAATATAAAGCGGCTGGTCCGGTATTTCTGCCGCCACCATGTCAGAATATCGGGCCGGCCGCTCAGCTCTTCTCTCCTGCAGGACGTTACCTGTTCCTCGGTCCAGCGCTTTACAGTCTTCCCTCGCCGGCTTCTGTGACAGCCGGGTGCCCACTGCGCATGCGCAAGAAGCGCTGCGCTTTGTGAATGGTCCGGTGTCTTCTGGGACACATGAAAGGTCCCAGAAGGCGTCAAATTCAGGTACCCGCTCCCCCTCCCTCCCCAAAGGTCCGCAGTCTCTGGTCATCTCCTTTACTGTCTGCAGTCTCTGGTCATCTCCTGTACTGTCTGCAGTCTCTGGTCATCCCCTGTACTGTGTCCGCAGTCTCTGGTCATCTCCTGTACTGTGTCCGCAGTCTCTGATCATCCCCTGTACTGTGTCCGCAGTCTCTGGTCATCTCCTGTACTGTGTCCGCAGTCTCTGGTCATCTCTTGTACTGTGTCCGCAGTCTCTGATCATCTCCTGTACTGTGCCTACAGTCTCTGGTCATCTCCTGTACTGTGTCCGCAGTCTCTGGTCATCTCCTGTACTGTGTCCGCAGTCTCTGATCATCTCCTGTACTGTGCCTGCAGTCTCTGGTCATCTCCTGTACTGTGTCCTCAGTCTCTGATCATCTCCTGTACTGTGCCTGCAGTCTCTGGTCATCTCCTGTACTGTGTCCGCAGTCTCTGGTCATCTTCTGTACTGTGTCCGCAGACTCTGGTCATCTCCTGTACTGTGTCCGCAGTCTCTGGTCATCTCCTGTACTGTGTCCGCAGTCTCTGGTTATCTCCTGTACTGTGTCCGCAGTCTCTGGTCACTCCCTGTACTTGTGTCCGCAGTCTCCTGGTCATCTCCTGTACTGTGTCTGCAGTCTCTGGTCATCTCCTGTACTGTGTCTGCAGTCTCTGGTCATCTCCTGTACTATGTCTGCAGTCCATTGGTTCAGAATATTTTTTTTCTTGTTTTCCGCCTCTAAAACCTAGGTAAGTCTTATGGTCAGGTGAGTCTTATGGAGCGCGAATACAGTACTTTATATTTAAATGTAAACGAGGGTAGTATGGTGCAGCGCTAAAAGAATTAAACTGAAAACAGTCAGAAGTCAATGTATTATTATCCGTGGTTTCTTATAAAAGGGTGCAAACTTCGAAAGCTCTTGCGGCCTCAAATAATAGCAATGCGCACTCACCAGAAACGCATGGGTTATGCGCATGTAGGAATAATCATTCCAGATGTCAGATCCTCCAACATTCAGATGGCAGGCGTCCCTCTCACGGTGGATCACCGAAGACTCAAAGCCGGATCCTGAGGTCCCCTTTAAGGTCAATCAGGCACTCCGCACTGGTGGTGAGACTCTCTCCTCTGAATGGTACTGGCACCTTCTCTGTGGGGGTAACAGCTCCACAAAGGAGCCCCAGAAAAAAAACACAGGTGCCAGAGATAGTGTAGTATGTTTAGGAAAATTTATTTGCCTCAGCATAAAATACAGGGTAGCATGCAGATCCAGACCCATAAAAGGTTAAAATAAGGATTAGGAAGGTAGCAATACTGACCCTAGTAAAGATGTCCGCCGAGCCTCCTCGTGGCTCCGGCGGTGCGAATGACGTCACGCTCTGCACAGCTCCTCCTTAGGCCTTTCGTGCTATAAGCACATCATCAGAGGGGAGGCTGTACAGAAGCGTGACTGACGTCGGGAATTTATGCAGGGGAAGACGGCGCGTGCGCAGTTAGCCGCGGCCATCTTCCCGAAGTTTCAGACAGTGCGCATGCGCGTTGATGACGGCGCCATTTTGCCGTGGATCCGCGATACTGCTAGCAGAAAGGAAGGGACAGGGAGATTAATCCCATTAACCATTCAGGTCTAGCTGAAAGCTAGCCAGCCCCAGACCCCAGGGAACAAATATGTGGCTGATATACACACATCTTCCTTATACTCCAAAAATAAAGTGACGGTGCTCAAGTATTTGTATAATGTAACAGTGGTGTCTATGGCCTTAAAGTGGCCCCACGGTGATTGGCAAATAACTATATTGACGGACCACGGCAAGGTGGGTGCACTGAATATACATAATATAACAAATAAACAATAAATGATAAAATCTAGAATACAATGCATAAATAGTATAAAAATAAAATTAAAAATATAAGAATTAAAATTATGTCAAAGTTGGTGCCTCACTCACTCTGTTTTATAGAGTATGAGTGGATAAAATGAAAACGCCAATTAAACATAAAAATGTGATATAGCACTCTATATTCACATATCAAATAAAATCGTAAATGCTGTATAAAATTAAATACAGTATAAAATATGAAATTGGGCACAGACTAAAAGAAAGTATAAAAGGCATAGTGTATCAATCAGCTATTGGCAATGAAGCAGTTGACATCTACTTCTATATTATGGCCTGCGGGATGTAATGTGTTAAGCTCAAACACCCACTTTGTTTTTGCTTGGGAGACCGCTCATGTTTTATTAATACCTCTCCAATGATGGCCAATCACATCTATGCCAACAAACTTCAAAGATGACGGGTCTTTATTATGATGAATCCGGTAATGGTTGGATAATGAATGCTCTCTAAAGCCCTTTTTTTATATTGGATACATGTTCACGCAAGCGGTCACTAGAGATGAGCGAATCGAACTTGGCGAAGTGGAATTCGTTTTGAATATTAGGAAAAATTCGAAAATTAGCAAACTTCGGATGCACGAATCGAATTTTCCCCGATCGGCCGATTTTTCATCCCTTCTACAGCCGGCAAAAAGTGTCCCTGCAGAGAGCTCCGCTATTTCTGACAGTTCTCTGACAGTTCCTTCACATTTACAGCGGTGGAAACATTGTATCTATTTGTTTCCATTTAGGATACAGATGTTTTTATTCGGAAACAAATAGATACAATGTTTCAACCGCTGTAAATGTGAAGGAACTGTCAGAGAACTGTCAGAAATAGCGGAGCTCTCTGCAGATACACTTTTTGCTGGACTGGAATTCTACTTATTTTCATCCTACTTCTTCTTCTTCTTCTTCTTCTTCTTCTTCTTCTTCATCCTTATCCTCATCCTCTTCTTCTTCTTCAGAGTAATGGTAAAATATGAAAGTGCAGCGCTAACTTAAACAATGATTACACATAAGATAGATCCCATTTGAATGTGGATCAGCAAAAAAGACGGCGTCAGTTCATCAGATGTGCTAAATACGTATACAGTCTCCAACACTTGAAGAGCCAGGGATAGTAGATATCAGAAATGATAAAGAAAAGCCAAGTAATGCACTGACCAGATAGCGCAAGTTAAAGCGCATGGGACATTT